ATTGGACCCTGATGGAAGCACAGGCATTCGTCACTCACAGCTCCGAATTTTTCTCGAACGTCTTCATCATCATCGCATCCACCTGAGCTACATTATCGCCTTCGCATAAACCGTGCATCCTCTGCTTCCTTCCACATTTCATACCACACAATGTTGCAAAGAACCATCCTCCGCGCCTCAAGACAGCAGGCTGCCCGCTCAATACGGCCTTTTGCGCCACTACGTCAACAATCACCCATCACACGAGCAGTAGCGACGCCCGCTATCCGGTGGTACTCGGATGCTGCACCAGCAAAGGAGGGCGAGGCTGCCGAGAAGAAGGAGGATGCGCCCGCAGAGAACAATGAGGCAACACAATTGAAGGAGCAGCTAGAGAAGAAGGACAAGGAAATCGTCGACTTGAAGGTAGGCTTCAATGGTGCCCGAATGCACGACAACAGCAGACTGACATGGCTCCACAGGACAAGTACCTCCGCTCAGTCGCCGACTTCCGCAACCTCCAAGAGCGCACCCAGCGCGAAATCAAGGCCGCTAAAGACTTCGCCATCCAGCGATTCGCCCGCGACCTCGTGGAATCCGTCGACAATCTTGACCGCGCTCTTGGCACCGTGCCAGAAGAGAAGCTCAAGGGGGATAACACCGACCTCATTGCCCTGCACGACGGCATCAAGATGACCGACACCATCCTCATCAACACGCTGAAGAAGCACGGCTTGGAGCGATTCGACCCCAGCGAGGCGGCCGAGAAGTTCGACCCCAACATCCACGAGGCTGTCTTCCAAGCGCCGCAGCCGGACAAGGAGGACGGAACCTGCTTCCACACACAGCAGAAGGGCTTCAAGCTCAACGGCCGGACACTGCGACCGGCCAAGGTTGGCGTCGTAAAGAACGCTTAAACTCGACATTATTAGGAGCAATATGAGCTTCATTCTACGCGAACCAGGACATCTGTCGCTGCCGCCACGATCTTCTTCGCATGTGTATGACTACTTCGGTTCGGCTCCATTGTAAGGTTGGCTGCTTTGATCTGGCACGGTACATTGGGGGCATGGCGTTTTCGTGTCAATTCACGAGGTACATTTGTGTACATATATTCCCCTCTCAGACGCATCTTGGAAAAGTTGAAGCAAGCATGATGACGAAATGGCTTTGCGTATATTGTAATATTAGATATGACGAACCATGAGCAAAAGAAGGCAGCTCAGAGAGCTAGCAGAGATATCAATGCCATTCGCATCAACTCATTTTCGATAGCGATTCGCAAAGTCTCTTTGTTTTCGTGATAGATGCCAATATGTGAAGAAGGACTGCGTTTCTTTTGAGCAGTCTTGCAGTCTGTTGACGCCCACACCTTTTAGAACGCCAGGCCCATGCAATGTTGTACACCCAAACACGCCACTCTCTTCGTCTACCAATTGGACTGCCCGTAAGGCGTAGCTCCATATGGCGTAGTTCCTCCTTGTGCTGCACCGCCCCACGAGCTCGCTCCTCCGTATCCGCCTCCTCCAACAGGGGTATATCCACCCGCATCACCGTATCCAGCACCGTTCAGTGTTGGACTCTGCGCGCCGCCAAAGTCCTCCGGGCCTCCAACGCCGCCAGATAATTCTTTGATGATCTCGGCGAGTTTGCGTTGCAGGATGGCGATGCCTTGAGTAACGATTTCATCGGGTTCGAGACCGCCGACTGTTTCGACGTCGTAGAAGAAGCGTGATGGGGCAGCGTCGAAGTTGAAGGGTTCATCGGGATTGGGAGGTCCACCGTCGAGGTTTATGCGGGCTTCGTCCTTGGGCCTGGATATCTGTTAGAGGCGTGCTGTTATACGATGTTCGGATGATTAGACTAAACATACCACTCCTTGTCCGCGTCCTCCTCGTGCCAGTAGTCCAAGTGATGCAGCTTATTCGCCGGATCGTACTCGAAGCCGATGGCTGCACTAGGCGCCCATTTCGCGTGCTCCTTTGCAATACCCTTCTTCGCAATGCACTTCATGTTGATAGCCTGGCCTCTCCTCAACTTGACAATGCAACTACCCGTCTCCTCTGAATCCGTGATAACCGGCTTCCCTAACTCTTCGTTTGGTGCCCGAGACTCAATAACCAGATCCCGAGCGTACACCTTCATAATCTCGCTGCCTGTGCATTTCGCGTTGAGGGTAAGAACGACGGCGCAGTTGTCGCAGTAGCCTTCGCAGTCGCAGTCGCGCGAGTACAGCAGCTCTTCTACGCCTTTGGAGCACAGAGGAACGAGGCCGAGACGGTGGCAGACGAACTCGTCGGCGAGAACGGATGTGTTGTCGAACACTTCTACTACATCGATGGCTAGGGTGGGAATCTCGGCGAGCATCACACGGCGGAGCGAGTTTGCGGTTTCGAGATTGAAGTTCTGGACGATGAAGTTGGCGCGCTGGCTGTCGGCCTACGCATAGCTGGGTTAGCTCGACGTGTCCTGGGGCAGACAGAGCGGGCGGTGTACCTGGAGGAAGCGCACGTTGATTGCGCCGCCATCTGGGTCGTAGTCCATCGCGTCGTCGTTTCAGGGAGGAGAGGGCTGTGTGCTTGCGAGGCTCGTGATGGAGCCGAGGTACTAGGGCGACTGGATTCGGAGGCGGAGAGAGACGTGTTGGCGTGTGTGGGTTGTGCTGGCTAGGGTCGTCGTCCTGATGGAGATTCTTTGAGGTGAGTCTGGGAGCGAAGCAGCCTAGCGTCTAGGTGTGGCGCATGAATCTACGCCACACCTAGAACCAGCCACACCATTGACAGTGGCATCGTCATACGGGTCAGCAACTGGCGAGATTACGCCGAGTGTAGAATTACATGCAGGGTCACATAGACCAAGATTAATGGCTGGATGACGTCTGAGTTCTATGCTTAAGAGTTACTAGGGAAACCGTATATTCCGCAAAGGCGGAGTCGTCATAGCATCACCTGCAGCTACCGTCTCGTGTGTTCATTGTACACACCAAACGGGAGACATGTACAACGGGTGTGCGCATCAAGACTTGTGGATGCGCCCGGCGTACGCGGAGCTCGAGACAGTCACGAGACAAGCATGGCCTTTGATCAGCCTTGCAGTTGAACGCATGAGACATTTTCCATGGGCCAAGCCTGACTTGAGCATCACAACAAAACCCAAACATGAAGGGTACTATTGGCCGACAAAGAACCTCAAGCGCAAAGCGCCTATGGCTGTGTTGCGACATGAGCCGACCGAGTTGAACAGTTGTCCTTGCCGTATCGCATGCCTATGGCAGACGGACAATAAACGAGTCTGCCGCTGAGTGATGACCTATTACATGCCCAGTCGGACGAGATAAGGCCTTGATGGTATTGCATGCATGCTGTGTAGTCCTAACATGGATAAGCCGGACACTAACAGTGGACTCGGTGCTTGAACAGTCAGTAAAGGATGTTCTGTGGAACCAGCGAGACACTGGTAGATGTTTCTTTCGTGGACATGAGGCTGAGTGGCAGGCGACTATGCATCAGCGAGGCTGAGGCTTCTCCTTTTCTCTGCGTCTCGTGCTATCGTCAGTTGAATCCATCATTGACGCGTCCGCCGAGGTCCGGAGACCTCCAGCAGCACAGTGCGTTGGGGAGCAATAGGGCGGGGCAGTGCAATGGTGCCCAGGAAATGGCGCGAAAGAAGCAGAGACATGGGACATGGACGCGGGAAATGGCATGGCCGGAGTCTGGCCTTGGCGGATTGAGGCGGAGCAACCGTCGCTGCTTGCGTGCGGGCGCTGCAACGACCAACCGCTGAAGGCGAACTTTGATATAAGACACACGCTGTCGGTCTCTTGCCCTCCAACTCACCACAGCAACTCAACCAACAGACCACAGTATATCTTTGCGCAACATAAATGATCGCAAACATGCAGGCTACTCTACCTCCATCACCAATGCGCTCCCGCGCGTCATCGGGAAGCAAGTCGCCACTTTCTCTCGACCTCTCAGACCTCCCACCGCTCGTCGAGCCATCACCTCCTTCAAACACACTCATCATAACCGTGAGTATTCCTCAGTTTAAAACTAAGAGCACAAACTAACAGCGTTCAGAATCTTCTCGCACCCGAGATCTTCTCACTATCAACCCTCACCGAGATCCGCGAAACCGTAGACAAATATGCGAAAGTACACACATGGGCGCCGCTCAAGTCTTTCCGTCGCATCGTAGTATCCTTCTTCGACGTCGACTCTGCGATCCAGGTCCGACAAGCCCTTGATGGCGAACAGCTCATGGGCTACCGCATCCGCGTATACTTCGGCGTAAACACACCCATGAACCCCTCAGACCAGCACCTCGCCCTCCCAAAGTCCGACCGACTATTCTTCATCTCGCCGCCGCCCTCTCCACCTATGGGCTGGGAAATGAAGGAAGAGGATGCGCCAAACAAGATTGTACACCCAGAAGACCTTGCGGCTGCGCTGGCACGGTTACATGCAAACCACGAGGCGACTTCGCCTACGACCGACCACGGCGGCCCATCCATCACAAGAAGGCGAACTGGCAGCACCACTGTTGTCTACCACCCCGAAGACCACGGTGACTCACCCAACCTTCCAGCCATATCCGTCGAAGACACAACAGAGACACCTGAGCTGTTGACACCCATCGATGCGATGGAGGGCGTCGAGGGCCCGATCGCATCGCAGAAGGCGCAGGGCATAGCAGTGAGCACATCAAGGCCACCGGTCGAGCTCATGCACTAGACGGTCGTGCAGATTTCACCGTGTTTCTTTCCTTCTGTTTTCAAAAAGCATCATCTGCTCAAATGACATTGCGAATGCATGGTTCCGGCGTTGGTGGTTCACCTCTTGGGATGGCTCGATTTCGAGTTAGGAATGATAGCATGTGTATTAAGGACAGTGGGGATACCTTTGGTAGGACTCTGGTTGCAATGGGTCTAATGGGTATGGCATAGTATGATATCCCGTTCGAATAGCGCAAATACGTTAAAGCACAACTTTACTTCGCCTGTTCCAGTCTGCTTCGTGAATATGGGTATGCAGTGTCAATCTGGATTGCGAAGCCAGGATACTGAAAATGCAATGCAAGTGTTGATCAAGTACATGTCTCTGCCTCTTTGCTATGAACCGCTTGTCCACCCGCGCAGAGTCAGCATGAGTCATCGTACTATAGATTCCAACCTCGCATAACGAGAGTTTCTGATTGTAAAAGCACGAGAACGTGAAAACGTCCACATCCGGTGGGGCGCATCGTGTTGTTGGTCGCAGTTGCCCGCGGGCCGTACCTGAAAGTCGCGCTAGCACGTGACGATCTCCATTTCGATTAGCGCGCACCACGAAGCGAAGGCCCATTTCGATAATTCTAATTTCGCAGGCCACGACCCCGACAACACCACGACAATCTACTAACGTTGCAGCTTCCACACGCCGTCGAGACGCCGCAGTCAAGATGAAGCTCAACATCTCATACCCCAACAATGGCACCCAGAAGCTGATCGAGGTCGACGATGAGCGCAAGCTCCGCGTCTTCATGGAGCGCCGCATGGGTCAGGAAGTCCCCGCCGACAGCATCGGCGACGAGTTCAAGGGATACATCGTCAAGATCACCGGCGGTAACGACAAGCAAGGTTTCCCGATGAAGCAGGGTGTCATGCACCCCACCCGTGTCCGCCTCCTGCTCTCCGACGGCCACTCCTGCTACCGCCCTCGCCGCACTGGTGAGCGCAAGAGGAAGTCCGTCCGCGGATGCATCGTCGGCATGGACCTCTCCGTCCTTGCCCTCAGCATCGTCAAGAAGGGCGACGAGGACATTCCCGGCCTGACCGACATTGTCCACCCCAAGCGCCTCGGTCCCAAGCGCGCCACCAAGATCCGCCGCTTCTTCGGTCTCAGCAAGGAAGATGATGTGAGTTCTCTCATAGCTTCTTCGCCAATCCTGCTTCGCATAGCGGATTGAGTCTCGCTCATCCTGCTACAAGCAGCGCATTGAGTCTGAGCAACAAGAAGTGAGCTAGAAAATTTGAAGGTTTGAGTACTAATCATTGCGTGTGTAGGTCCGCAAGTTCGTCATTCGCCGTGAAGTCGTCCCCAAGAAGGAGGGCGCAAAGCCCTACACCAAGGCCCCCAAGATCCAGCGTCTTGTCACTCCTCAGCGTCTCCAGCACAAGCGCCACAGGCTCGCACTCAAGCGCCGTCGCGCGGAGGCTTCCAAGGATGCTGCCGTACGTTCACACCATTCACTACAAGACGCACCGAGGCTAATGATACTGCAGAACGAGTACGCTCAGATCCTTTCCAAGCGCATCAACGACGCCAAGGCCGCACACGAGGAGGCCCGCAAGAGGAGGGCGTCTTCCATGAAGCACTAGAGCGTTATCATGAGTTCATGATTGGGTCGTGGAATGATTACATTGGCGTCGGCACGAAAATAACGGTGTGGGCTCCTGTATCTGAATGAAAACTTCGGGCATTCTAGGGAATAGGCGCTTCTCATACCACTGACTGCTTAAGGCAGTTGTCTCAATAAACAATTGCATCACTTCACGACCGCTCCACAACCTTCGTATCCGACATGTCTCTTGCTGGTACACTTTCATACACTGCGTATCTGTGGACTGACAAACGTATCTCGTCGACCTACCTGACCTTGCTGATCATATCAGCTCCATTCTTAACGTTGCCCCATCGCGCGTACCTCTTGCAACCCTTCCAGCTCATGGTGTGTCAAGCCCTTGCTTGAGCCTTTGCATGCTCACCGGATCTCCTGCACACCATATGTCTATCCTTTTGTACCTTTCATACACTCTCCTCAATATACGAAGCGCTTGGCTATGGTGAAGTTTATCCATCCAAGACGTTCTAGTCCTGAACAAACTATGAGTCTTATTTGCCCTAGCAATCCCAGCCCAACGCATATGTACATATATTCAGCCTCCTCCCAACACTCAGCCCTTCGCCAAGACAACCTTTTTGAGTTCATTCAAGATGATCATGGCCTCCCAGTCAATGCATCACGGCGTCGAGCATAGATGCGCTTCCGTCCACATCCTCGGTCCGCGACACTCAGGCCTTGAAGAAATATGCGATAACCTGCTTCATTCAGACAGAATCGAGCATCTGACACGCACGTACATCAAGGATACCTGCCAGCATTTTCAGACATCAGATAGCAAAAAACACATCTCTTCTGGCAGTCCGGTGTACAGTAAGTACCTAGACAACGACAGGCTTCGAATTCCTGACCAAGGACTTGTCGTCCTGGTAAAGAGAGATCTAATTAGCGCTATGGAGAGGTGGGCGACTAAACATGGGGAGCTCAATACAGATGGGCAAAGGGAACAGGATAGAGGGCTCAACTTCCGAAATGTCGGACACATGATAAGCAGCTTCGTGAAGAAGCTGCTGCAGTCGGAACAAGCTCGGATACAAAAGACGAGAGGAAAAGCTTGGGTGACATATCTTGAAGAACGGGCGACGGCTGAGAGGGTTTTCGAGGAGATGAGGACGCAGACAGATACGCTATCATTGGAAGCTGATGGAAGCGATGCGATCGCGGCTGTTGAGAAGATCTGTGAGAAATGGAGGACAATGCAGAATGAGTATGGGGATGCTTGATGGTACTTCGGCTGAGGAATGATTCGGGATAGAGAATGAGGTACTGAAGCAGATGGAATTGATCATCGTAATCTGTGTATCAATAATGGCAGTCTTACTATGTCTACAACCGTGTGTTGTTTCTTGTGAAGCAGGCAGAGTGTTGCATCTTACTTGAATCCATCTAATATTCTTTGTGTGCCTGACAAAGGCTGTGTTGCTGATCCTTTCGCAACCCATGAATTCTTCGGACCCCCCAACGTCCATACTACACATTTCTGGTCGATCTGGGGGCATACAAGGCCTGTAGTGGCTAGCTGATAGATGGAGCTGACGTACGGTCAAGTCGGGTTTGCTGTGTCTGGATTGCTTGAAGGTATAACGGCGTATCAACAAGCATTGGTACTGGGATGTGTACTTTTTGAAATTTTTTAAGGTGTATGCACATCGGTCGTATGTATATACAAGCCGACCGACGCATCCAAGCCTAGTCTATAATGTTGCGCCGCGCAATGCTGTCAGCGCCAAACGCCCGCCCGTGTGGTATCATTCGCCTCGTCGCATACCCAATGTTGCACAAAGCAGATGCGCGTCTTTCCCATTCCCCTTTTCTCTATTCCAGCTTCTTCAATTGCCTGTAGACCTTCTTATGTTGCTCCAAAAACAAGAACGTGAGCACGGTGTGCGGGCCGACGCGAATGAAGCTCGGTACCCAGCCCTTGAACATCCAGCGGAATCCTTCTGCTCTCATAGTATCCGTGACTGTCTTCACTAGTCCCACACTCTCACTGGAGCTCATGACTTTAGTTTTGATGACATCTACCGGCGAGCATATCGTTGTAGCTACAAATCCAGCCAAGAAGGATGCTGAGAAATGTGTTGCGAGGTTGTCTTGCAGCGGCGTGTAGTTCAGCAGCACGCGCTTGAATCCGTCGTATGTTGCCAACTGTCCAACTGTCATGAGCACAGCTCTTGACGAGTTGGGCCAGACGCCTTTCCATAGACTTGCTACTCCTTCTTCCCGCGACATTCGTATTATCCCATCAATCGCGTTCTTGTATCCTCTCCGCTTTTCTTTTGGTAGTGCGGCATCGTGCTGCATCCGTACGTTCAAGATGTCTCCTGGGTTACCGGCGAATCCTCCGAGGAATCCTGATATGGAAGCCATGCCGACGAGCGTGAGGAACGAGGGTTTCGTGTCGGCGGTCGTCATGCGGTCTTTGAGGGCTTCGTAGACACCGAAGCGTGTCATGCTGTATGTCCCTTGGCGGAGCTGGGCTGCGGAAATCTATCGTCGCATTAGACGGGTCCAATTGGAATTGAATAGATAAGACGACTTACGCCCTTGTACAGTCCCAATGCGCCATCAGTCTTTATAACATGTTTGAACATTTGCATCATGTTCAACTTCACGCCAGATATTGCTTGTGTTTGTAACCGGACCTGAATTTATGAGTATACACAAATTGGCGCACGCGACAGTCGAGAAAGCTACCTTGACTACTCAAACTATCAGCCACTGTCCAATGCTGCGCACGAAGCGGTACAAAGCTTACCAAGATCCAGAGGATGTGTAAAGAAAGTCGCAAAACAACTTGCGCTTCCACCAAACCAGAACGGATAGCGTATAGGCGTCTTCTTGAGAGGCTTCACATCTTCGCTCTTCCGTAGCTCAGGGACGCTCACGGGCTTCTTGACGTCCGCCATGTTGAAGGTGAAAGGCCGCGCAGCAACAGCATGTGTAGCTGGCAGGGACAGGGAAGCTGTAGCCTTAAAAGTAAGGAAGCCTGCAAAGCTTCGGTGGTAGTTGAGGGACCGAGAATTCGGCACGCGCGGACGTCATCGGCAAAACGTGCTGCTTCCGGATTTAAGCTCGGAGCTGGCGGGCTGGGCTTGGCGGCGCGCGTGGTTTTGAGGTCGCGAAGGTAACGGCGAATCTCATCATCAAAGATGCGAATACCACTTTCTTCTACGGCGATTTGTCGTCAATTAGGTCGAAATGCCCTGTTGCGAGTACCACGGAGCTCAGTATCGCCCTGGCCGTGGCGGCAAGCGGTGAGATATAATTCTTCTGGTGAGTTTGCTGTCATGTGACGCGGCTCACAACTTTCCATATCGAAGTCACCGCTGTCCTTCGGTGTTGCGAGATTTGGAAGATGCAGATGATGAATACCCTTTCATTCAGCTATCTTTGTATTGGTGTTGAGCAGCAGTTTTGCGTATGAGCATAAAGAAGTTTTGAAGTATGGCATCTAAGTTCTCCTAGGCGCATTCCCGAAAGAAGTCAAAATAGAGGGACGAACGTATCAAACCGATGAATGGATGAACACACCCTCAACTATCCTCGACGCTATACCAAGACGCCTTCATCTGCAACCAGATCACCCTCTGACCATTACACGAAAACTTATCGAATCACGCTTTCCGGGTTACAAAACCCATAACGATCTTTTCCCTATCGTCACCACCGGCCAAAATTTCGATTCTCTCGGGTTTCCATTAGATCACATAGGTCGAAGCAGGACGGACACGTACTACATAAACAAGGAGACTGTACTACGGACACACACCTCAGCTCACCAAGCCGACACCTTCCGCAACAATGAAAGCGAGGGCTATCTCATCAGTGCCGACGTATACCGACGAGATGCTATCGATAGAAGCCATTATCCTGTTTTCCATCAGATGGAGGGAGCAAGAACTTGGGATCGTCAAATAGCAGAGAAAGAGGGCAAGACACTTGCGCAGGTCATCTGGGACGATGTGGAGAATATTCCCAAGCACGATGTTGCAGTCGAAGACCCAAACCCTCCGTTCCACGCCGAGCGTAACCCACTTCAAACAGGACACTCAGCAGAAGAAGCAGAAGCCATGGCTGCACACCTGAAACGAAGTCTTGAGGATATGGTGGTCACGATCTTTAATGCTGCAAAGAGTGCTGCAGATACTGCCACGTCAGACGAGCCACTAAAGGTACGCTGGGTGGAGGCCTACTTCCCCTTCACATCACCCTCTTGGGAACTGGAAGTCTTCTGGCAAGGTGACTGGCTCGAAGTGCTCGGCTGCGGCATCGTGTCACAACCCATCCTGAACAATGCCTCGGTTCCCGATCGTGTAGGGTGGGCTTTTGGCATAGGTCTCGAACGCATAGCCATGTTGCTCTACTCCATCCCGGACATACGTCTGTTTTGGTCAAAGGACTCTCGCTTCTTATCGCAGTTCAGCGAGCAGAAAGCCATTCGTCGATTCGAGCCTTTTAGCAAACACCCTGCATGTTTCAAGGACGTGAGTTTCTGGTTGAAGAGTAGCTCGAATGCCGCTGGTGGCGCCGCTGCTATTCATCCGCCTGCAGGAGGCGCGACTCACAGTTCATCCACGACATCCCCCAACCCATCCTCTGCTCCTACAACTCCATCTGGCACGCCAATCCCACCAGCAGCCCCGGCGCCATCATCCTCCAGCTTCCACGAAAACGATGTGATGGAAATCGCACGAGAGGTCTGCGGTGATCTTGTTGAGGATGTGCGTCTAACGGATGAATTCGTGCATCCAAAGACTGGGCGCAAGAGCATGTGCTACCGCCTCAACTACCGCAGCTTGGAACGCACACTCACGAACAAGGAGACTAATGAGCTGCATGAGCGGATGAAAGGCATGCTTGTGGAGAGGCTGGGCGTTGAACTAAGGTAGCGTTGGCTGGCCATGTGGTAAGATAGGACGGCGAAATCCGTACGAGTTCGCCATGTCCTATCCAGAAAAGGAGGAAAAGAGTATAGTCTGGTGGCGGTGGTGGCGGTAAAACGGTACGGGAGTCAGGCCGCCACGCAAAAAGAACACATAGGAGATGTCATGAAAATAGCATAGCCAGGTGAAGAGACGGGATTCTGTGATCTCGATCGGAATGTGGGGAAAACCGTCAGAGTGACATTGAGGGTGTGATAAAGAACGGAACGGAGCGAACGGACGACTGCCGAATGCAGGTGTGGGTGTTTGTGTGTGTAAGAGAGGAAACTAATGTCGGCTATCGATCCCTTCAATCCTAACGGCGATGTCCACTGCATGATGTGGTTTCTGGGTGGCCAGACTGCCTGAGCATGCAGGACATCACACCCTCGAAACTCTAAACACGACGATATCTGCCGTACGGATTGCCTGACATGCAAAGTGGAGGAGTGGGCGGCGCTTGCATGCTTGCGTATCTCCTGGACGCCTCTTTGAAGCCGGCAACTCACGATGTACAATATGCTGTAACGATAGTCGTAGTTCTAAATCAAACGCAACTCTACCATACCACAGTCTCTATTATTACACACTCAAATCACTGGTACTCGGTACTTCTAGGTCCCAGACTCGGCACCTCCGTGCTGCACCTCCGTTTCTTGTCGACCGCAAGCCTCATGCACGGCACCCCGCAAAAATTCCGATTGAGGAAGGAGTAAAAAACAAGTTACACAAGGTACCGTGCAGAAAAATCCTGTTTCCACACGCGAGCAGTCTGAACGTCTTTGAGAACAGCACTAACGCCTGATGTTGACAATGCAGCAAGAAAAAAGTTGGCATCACGTCAGCAAAATGCGCGTCTCAGGTTCTGTAATTGTTGGTCGCCCTATATGCGGCTGTGCTATAGTTTGCAGTTGGTGGTGGCCAAGTTCACCGGCGTGTCCTGCAGGTCGCAAGCTGGTGGGGCAAAGGACCCTGTTTTCCCCCAAACCAATACGAAATTTCGACGCGGGTATGCGCCGTTCAAACTTACACGCTCGAGACGCATGCGATAAGACGTGACTTGCAGTTCGCAGCGGCATCCCAAGTAGGCAAACCCAAAATCATCACGGACCCTGCGCCTTGCTTGCTTACCTGGGAACGCGCTTGTTGTTAGGTTGGCTAGACTAGCCCATAGATCAAAGCACGACATTGCCTTTGGCGTCTAAGTTTGGCGCAGGTTTGGTGTAGGTTTAGCCTGGCTGGCGAGCGGAGGGTCCCCTAAACTCCGACGAGGCTAGAAGAGACGTCGAAGGAGGCTTCTAGCTGCCGTTCTTCCAAGGGCTACCTGGAGGCACTTCCGTCGCAAAGAAAGATGGGTGTTGCGAATGTTGGCTAAGAATTGGGAAGCTTTTTCGATGTTTTGCGCAGGGGCTGATGTGGCGTGGGCGGAAGTGCTGGTGCGATTCTGCTGTTACTTTTGCGCCTCAGGCTTCCATGCGTCTTCGAGAAGCTCTCATTTTGGAAGCTTTGGACGGGTGAGGTCTGTTTGCTTGCTTTGTGGAACGCAAGCCTTCTGATGCTTTCTTTCTTCACATACTATTGTCCCCTCCTATACGTCTCATTCGTCGTATTGATGTCAAATTCGAGGAATTATGAAGTCTGTGTTGAGGCGGCTGGCTGATGTTCTCGAATTAAATGTTCTGTGCCACACGCATATATCGCCGTTGTATCATAGTAGGGGCTTCCTATGCCATTGTCGTACACATTAATAGCCGGTGCGAACAAGCAACTGCCGACCTCGCAGGTAGCGAAGGATCGCATCTGCTGTGCGATGTAGCATTTCTCAACGGCTGTTGCAGCATTTTGACGATCATCTCATGTGCATGGCAACTCGTGCCCGGGTACTCGTCCCGTAACAATCCCCCACAAACATCAAAATAGCCACACGCTATGGGTCGAGCACGATGGGAAGAAGTTGTTCTTGGAGAAGATCGAGATCGTAATCAGATCGACGATTGTTGAGTAAAGGCGAGTGGGTGACTTTTGCTTTTCGGTCTCAGGAGTTTGGTGTCTAGGCAACGGTCAGCTGCAAGGGTGTAAACTCTCGTAACGTTTGAGTGTCAAAGTAAGAGCTGGGGAAATGTTCTCGCCGTACACGAAAGCTGTACTACCTTGATGCCTGCTGTGCTACCATATGACAGTACAATATGTTGCAACAAAGATAACGTTAATGAAGCGGATGAGGTTTGAAACGAGGTGACGGTGAGTCGTATTTAGCCAGCTTGTGTGTGATAGAGGTCCCATTTGAGCCGCATCAATTCGGCACGTTGTGGCGGTGGTTAAGTGTATGATTCGAGTGGGGCCATGAGAGCATTGAAGTCATTTCCTTATCGAAGCGGCATTGGAACACGGACGTGTTGTGCTTGACGTTGCGCCATATCCGCAATGCTCAATAGAGGCATCGGAGATGATGTTGGTAGTGATACGCAATAGCAGTGCGCTACTAAGAACAGATCATAACGGTTCGTGGTATGCTCTGAATCTGCACCTAATAGCTTAGTACGGTACATAACCCGGCGGGATTGATCATCATATAACTGCGAAAACGATACCTGCGTTCGGCGCAAGATAACAAGGCTATGGCGAGCAGTTCCCTTGGATTGTTTGAACGGAAGAAGGCCCTGTGCGTTTCCCTTCTTGGTGATCAGGCGAAGTGTGCCGACTCCCGCGCCTTGGATAATGGAGTGGCGCTTTTTTTCTCTCGAACCGATCGGAACCGGCACATAGCAATCAGAACGAACGCACGCATTTTCGACGTGATGTCATGATATATGGGGAACGGCCTATTTCTCACATGTGCAGCGGGTTGATTCCTTCAACGCCCGATCGACTGGTGCTGTAGCAGCTGTACGCGAGATGATCTACTCGTAGGTAACGGACCAATATTGACTGCACGATGAGGACCGTTCGCTGCCTGCGAACCAACCGAACGTGATGATATGCAGCCTGCGCTCAGAACAGTCAGTCAAGAGCCAGGGTGCGATGGAGCCAAGACGTCCCCTTTCGGGGAAGATGGGCCAGGCGAAAGTATGAACAGCAAGACGAACCGCACACCAAAGTGCTTTTGATAAGGAACAGGCAAGACGGTAACCGCATGTGGTGCAAATCGGACGATATTGACTCTGCGAAAAAAGTTGGTGGCTCTCGTGCAGCAATCCCTTGCTGAGACTGGCCCGTTCACTGCGTCGCTTGGCGTGAAGTCGGAAAGCACTTGCATGCAGTCGGTGCGCGAAGGCCGAAATTCAGTAGCGCAACGTACCCAGCTATAGTTATATGCATATTGACGTGACGAGGCATCACCTTTGGAGAGAGCACCGTCACTATCATTCCTATAGGCAGATAGGGAAGAAGATGAGCGCACATGTCTTTCGCATAATGTTTCGTGGGGGTCGACGCTCGGCTGTGGTGTGTGATAACTAGCCACCGCACGGATACCAGAGTGAAACGGCGTAGTAGGCTCGGGAGAAAGAGGCAGATGCGGCACTGCACGTGTTGTGTTGAAGCTTTTGTGGTCCGCAGCGGACGGGAATCGCAGACAAAGTGCAAAGCGGGTCGTTCAGATTCGCTTTCGTGCTCGCATCAATGTCGGCGTGAATGGACGCAAGTCACGGTGCTGCTCGCGTAGGCGTATGAAGAAGGAAGAACTAGGCATGGGCACTAGTATGGCGCAAAGTTAAAAGATGGAGAGACAGTGTCAGGGACCCACGGCAGCTTGGACCAGGAATCTACCTGATCCCACGCAACCGTCGAGCGGAACCGGCAAGTGACAAACCACAGACCGAATTAGTACCAGACGTACGCTAGACGTGACTCTCTTCCATGAATCCTTCACCGAACGATGTTTTTGGACGTTCTCCGTGGGCAATTAAGCGACGGATTGCGGCCCCCGCCTATAGCTGCTGTGTGGGAGATTGGGACTCGATTTGTCGAAGAGTCGCTGAGATGACAGTACAAGTGATGTGAGGGGTCACTGACTGGAGATCATCGTCGTCGTCTCGAGTGTTGGCTAAGAGGGTGCCCAAACATGGGCTTCGGTGGAATATGCCGTCTCGCTCACGGTATTTGGCCGTCGTGGAGTGGAGCGGAAGCCCTTGCCAGGGCGGCGTTGAAGGGTCGCACCAACGCGTGCAATAAGCTTTGAGCGTCATCGTCTAGAAAAGCTCGTAGTTTTGACGAGTCGAGCGGGTGCAGCTGTGCCGTGATGACCCTGTTTCCGGCCCAGGGATGCCACGAGGCCGCTTCCGCAGCCAATGGCGCCCCCCTGCTAGTTCTAAACGTTCGCTTGCATCTGCCTTGTTCCTGAGGCGCTCCTGCCTCCCTCTCCCCGAACTCACTGACACCAACGTCTTCGCCGCGTGCCGGCCAGAGGCGCGCCGCTGCACAACCTCATCTGAACTGCGACCGAGTCCAATGCACTACGCCAGCACGGGGCACATGTTTTCTTCTCAACAACATGCACATCACTGGTGCTCCGTACCTCGCCACCAGGGCCATTATTCAGTCGCCAGCGACCGTTTAGCTGCGTCGCCCTGTTCGCAGCTGGTGGGCCGGCTTTCCTACCGCTTTGGTGCAGTCCACCGGCATTGATAAACCGCCTGGCATATGAGCAGCCGGTCCGCAAGGCGACGATAGATGATGATAGTCGATTAACTGCATCAGGTCCGTTTTCGCTGGCGCTAGACATGTTCACCTGATGCTTCAGTCGACGCTGCTACTCGCCTCCACACTATGCTGCAGATCAACATGTTGCAGCCAAAAGGCACCGTCCGTCGCAACCATGCGCTGTGCTCGATGCTAAGGGTGGTGCCGCGCTGTCCATCGTGCAGATCACCCTAGGCATTAATTGCGTGATGATATAGCCTACCCCACGAATCGCCAGACATGCGAGGTTAGGCTCGCGTTTCACCCAACTCCCGCCAATCCCACCT